GGTCGAGGTGGCCGGTGGTGGGAGGCGCGGGGCGGGGGCAGGGGCGCGGGCGGGCATGGGCGGGCACAGGCGATGTGGGGCCGGGGGCGGGGGCGGGCACGGGGGCGGCGGAGGTGGTCGCCGGGGCCTGGCCGGGCTCCATGGCCGGCGGCGGGGACGAGCACGGGCGGCGGCGGCGCGGAAGGCGCGGGGCGGCGGGGAGAGAAGTTGGGAAATTTTCCTCCCGCGCGCGTGGTTGACCGAGCGAGGGTTCGGCCTGGAAAATTGGCCCAAACCCTCACTAGTGCAGGTTGGACTCCAAGTTGAGGGTTCGACCTGGAATTTCTTTTTGAGGGTTTAAGGATTTGAGGGTGCTGATCTGCGCCTTTTTTTCTGCTCAACCTTCAAACTGGTAGTTATTTTCAGGATTTGACCAGTTTGAGGGCTCTGTTAGACATACTCCTAGGCAGACGCCCCGTTCCTGCTTCGTCTTTAGCGGCCCAACCTAGAGGACACCATAACAATAATCATCCAAAAGGTGACATTGGACACTGAGCCTTGTAGTATTTGATTAGGGCAATATAGCTGAATGTCACTGTTGTTGTCTCGCAAATGCAACATTTAACAACGAGAAGTATCTGCAATATAGCCAGAATCACGTTACGAGTAACTGAGGAAGCACACCCCCTTGCAACAGGCTCTTTTCTTGATAGGATAAAAAAAAATTGGTCATATCTCTTGTACCTACCTTAAAGGAAACTATATGCATAATAATGCCACAATGACACCAGTCTTTTCATTGATACTAGGTAATTGCCTCTACGTTGCACCGGAGACACAAAATATTCTACTTCATTAGTGATTATATATCATTTGTTATTGATATAATTGAAAAAAAACAATATTCTATGTTTTCACTCTTAGCCATGTAGATTAAGAAAAAATTAGTTGATACATCATGGCCAAAAATGATATGACTCCGTAAAATAAATATTTTATTTGATAAGCATTAATTTTATTTTATTTTTTTGCGGGGATAAGCATTTATTTTCTTATACCAAAGTAAACATAATATGGCAAACAAGAAATCATGTCGTGCCTACGGCCTACCTAGATGATTTGGATTGCAAGGATAGTCTATTGAACGGTTGTATTTTATGTTTTCACTCTTAGCAAACATGTAGATTAACAAAAAAATAGTTGATATATCATGGCCAAAAATATTTAATCAACAACGCAGCCTAAAGGGATCACCATCAGTGTAGTATTTGCCATTACTCCCACACGTTATAGCAATGTAGCAGAAGCTTTTATTTAACAAAAGAGAAATTAGTTGGTAGTACATCACAGCAAAATTAATACTCAGCCTATTTTTAAGGGATAACCATAAGGGAAACACTATATCCATTAGTCATGCATCTCCTGAATATGGGCGTACCCTTGGCATATACAAGGATCAAAGATTCAAGACTGATACAACTACACCAGGGCAGAACGAGATCATGCAGACCCTGCCTAGTATGGCATGCCTAATAGCATAGTGGTGGCGAAGTTGGGCAAGTACCTTGAAGCCTGGTCTAGTCGTCCGAGCGACATCACCTGGCTTAACCGGCCCAGCGCGTCGGCGGCCCGTTGCTGGCAAGCTACCTTAGTGATGCGCCTTCCTTTAATACAATGCCACACCCTTTCCTGTACTACAAACACCACACCTTGGACATGGCGATGGGTGAACGATGATGAGGCTGAGATCACGTGGCACAGTGGACAAGATGAGGAGATCGTGGCTGATGGGTTGAGGGTGAGGTCCCGGTGACATGCCGCCATGTAACGATCTGAATGATCGTCCCTGAGGTTAAGGCTACGTTTGGGGATATAGAAGAGAGAAGAAGAAAAGAAAAGAGAGAAACCCGAGGTGGGGAGGGACGTGCGTGGGGAGATTGATCACCATCATTGAGATTATTGCGTTGCCATAGAACATAGTTATTACCATACATGAATTGATTACGTTTGTATTGATTGCGTTTGTATACTACTCTCTCCGTTCCAAAATAGATGACTTAACTTTGTGCTAACTTTAGGGAGTACCAAATAAGAGATTAGTTACCATACATGAATTCTTTGGTTACCAAAGCTAGAGTGGGTTTGTCAGTTCAGATGAGAATAAACAGGTAAATAGACAACCAACCGAGAGAAAACCTGTGGAGGGATGAAAGAAAATCGCTACAAGGAGAGGGGGTCGTACGAGAGGTTGGACTAAGAGCGGGGAAGTAAGAGGGGAAACGGAACACTACGTTTCTTTTAGGTAGTAGGCATGCCCATCAGTCACACTATCGCGACCTCAGACCATCGCATGCATAATCCTTTTGATGCTCTTCGGTCAAAATCAGCTGCACAACTTTCCACTCTACACAAGAGACACAAAATGAGTGTGGCATTAGAAGCCCACCACCCATAGTTCTCTTCGGCTAATCGATGTCAACCCTCCGGCGTCATAAGGATGATGGATATCTTAAAACTCACTTCACAAAAAGCAATGGTTAGTCCACACAAAAAATGAGAAAAAGAAAGCAAGATTGTTTATCATCATACGATGTCAGATTACGAAGTAGTCCCCTCGGTATTGTTACCACTAAAATCTAGGAATATTAATAATAAAGCATGCAATGTACAATATACTAACATATCATCACAAGTTAACAATAACACAAGCCACAAGCAGCGAACACAACACATAAGCAATCAATTAACAGAAATAAGAGCACGACACAACACCTATCATCTAGCAACAACAGTAACAGAGCACCAATACCAGTACAAGAAAATAATCTACTGCTTTAATGAAGTTATAAAACAATAATAGCATGAAAACTTCATAATCTATCTTTGTAAGGCTAATTTTGAGCTCTTATTACCATCACCATTGCTTCGGAATTATTCAGTGATCAACTCTAGCACAACCATCTGTTTATTGCAATCTCAGTTGTCTCCATAGCATTAAATTCTCAAGACCGAATTCAGATTATGTATATCTTGGCTCATGTTGTATTTTTAATGTTCCACTACCTACTTGGTTGGTCTTTACTTAATAATAAAATATTATTATGTATTTATACAAAATATTTTTACTTGTTTAGAATTATATATAACTCATTCTCTCAAAATTTGATTTTAACAACTAACCACCGATATTTAAATATTTTTTTTTGCTTTTTAACTAATATTTTTTTACTTGGCCCATGGATATCACTTGATTTGAGTTTAAATGATAAATTGCAAATGGTGCAACTTAGTTGTTTTAGTTCTAAGACTGAGACTCTAGAAAAGTAAAAATGAATAAAATCGCATGTCTAAAAAGGTTATTCGGTGACACTTTGATGAACTACAAATATATGTATATGTTAGTGTCTTTCTCTAGATGCATCATTGCCTATTTTAGGTATAAGTAAATAAACTAGACACATGTCAATGTTCAAAATAGAAAATTCTAGAATATACAATAATCTATGAGGTGGTTATCCTCAGATATTTGTATTTTTTATTTAAGATTACTTGCAAAATAAAATCAGTTGGTATCATGTGCTTGGTTGCAAATATTATTCAATTCTAACTGAATTAAAACATGTCTAATTGTTTTCTTGGTTTCATGTTTCTTGTTGATCCAGTCTCAAATTTGCATAAGCATGCACCTCTCACCTTACTCGCTCAAAACATTGGACTACATATCAATATATGGTCTAATATGTGTTCTAAAATGCGACAAGCTCTATTTGTTTTAACATAAGAATTTTATGAAGCATCAAAAGAATCTAAAAAAATTTGACATGTACACGTGGATGTGATGTATGTAGTGAGACATGCCAATCCAAGAGAGGATTAATGCACTGCTTAGTGTCTAGTAAAATGCTCCCATTGTCAAAGAACTTGGATATACATGAAGAAGCTAAGGG